CGAGTCAGAGGTGGGATGTCCTCGAGACTCATTGAAGGTTTGGTAGCCCGTTGGTGAAAGTCTATAAATTACTTATCCAATAAAGACAAGATAATAAATAAAGTAAATTACTTATCCAATAAAGACAAGATAATAAATATAGGTCATTGGGTGAGCATAACATAACTCAATGGTGTAGGTGTGGAGTGCCCGGTTCACAAGCATGGCATCACATGTGTCATGAGAACATGGGGGTGGGTTCGGTGTTGGTTATGCATGCATGAAGCACCACCTCATATAGGGGTATCAAATGTGTCAGGTTAAATGGGTAACGGGTGAAAAACATATAAAGTCATACACGATACGTTTAATAAACGAGTAAAAAACTTCAATACGAACACGAACCATTTAATAAATGGATAACACGACACGACTCGTTTAATTTTAAATGAAATGTGTTGGGTAAAATCAAATTAACACGAGAAACCATCCATTAGACTTATTTATCTATTTGTTTAAAAATACTATATATAACTATATAAAACTAACACAAAAAAATTATCCACACCAAAAGATTATTCTATTAAAATTTTAAACTCCATTAATTGTCCACTCCAATTATACTCCCTAAATTAAAAGATTTCCAGCTGTCTGTCACATGCAACAACAAGTGAGAAGGTTGAATGACAAAAGGAAGGGGCTGCAACCTTTTATAGGCATGGGAGGTCTCCTTCGTTTATATTTGTTGATGTGGGATTCAAGTCAAAAGTTTTCATTGTGTGTTCACTATGCAAGTTCATCAAAAACTATCTTCCCACATCGAGCTACAACGAGGGTAAGTGACTACTCTCTACTTAAGGCCATTGGACCCTCATCTACTCAGCAGTTCACTGTACATGTTCATAAAAAAAAAAAAAAGCCATAGGCTTTCAAATGCCTATTAACTGTTTTTATTTTTAACTAAGACTTTTCTTTAATCATTTCCCATATATATAATATTTTAATTTTGACTAATTTTTAAAAATAATTATTAATTTATTATTATATTATTTTTTTTAGCGGGTAAACGGGTTGATAAGTCTCACTCGAACACGACCCGTTTAATAACCTGTCTGACGGGTCAACCCGTTTACCATTCAAATCCGCTTAATTCGTGTCAATTAATCGTGTCATGTCAGGCTTTGATAGACCTAATCTTATATCATGGCATAATGATAGTATTTATTCATGTCCATGTGCATATATGAATGCTTGGGATGTTTGAATGTGTATTACATCATATGCATCATTGGGTTGAGAGGGATTTCTTCATAGAAGATACCTTACTGGACGTTGGCTTACCCCGTTGTGGGAAAATATTTTCAGGTACATTGCACACTTTTGCAGACGAGTCGCACCTAGGCCTAGCTTGACGACGGAGCTAGAGTCCAGCCTTTTATTTTGATGTATAGATACTCAATCTTAATTGCAATCAAATAGATAGCCATGTACTTTTCGTTTATATAACATATGTATATTCTTTTGTAAAAACATGTAAACTTGAAAAACATTGTATCTATTCTTTTGATAAATGGACATTTGTACATTTGAATTGTTAGTTAATGATTTGTATCTTTGAAGTTTCTTAAGTGTTTACATTAGACCTTGAAAGTCATTATAGACGAACTTGAGATAAGTTGTGTTTTGGGTGGAGCTCTTCATACAAAGGAGACTCTGCTGAATTTTGGTGGAATTGGTCCACCGGTACCAAGGTTTTAAGTAAGTTAATAAAGCTTAACGAGTAATAAGAAACCCCAGGAATTGGGGTGTCACAAATCTGATCGGGTTCATTTTTAGCGAGGCATTCCAACGGTGGTATGGGCGTTCGAACGCTAGTGACTTCTTGTCCCAACTTTTAAATCAATTTTGACGTAGTTAGAAGTCGTTTCACGAAAATTCCACAAATACACTTTTGTAGCCCTGGAAATCTAGTTTCTACTGTTCAAAAATAAAATCAATAAAGCATCGGAGTAAAAAATTATAGCTAAAATACTAAGATAGTATCTAATTTGTTTCTACCCAATTTTTATCCAAAATGCCTTTTTACCCCAGAATACTTTCACATTTCTAATACACCCTATATCACCTCTCCCAAGATTTCTCGATCTCCAAATTCAATATTTAAAATATTACCTAGCTACCCTTGTCAAGCATAAATATTCCTAAAACTAAATTTAACCTGAAAGTCAATATGTACGGAACTCAAACTTGAAGGCCAATCTTTCGATAATGCTTGAAAGTTTCTACCATTATTTTATTTATCTTCGAAGAACTCTTAAAATAATATTATCCTTACGTAATTATAGTACGCTATCTTACTAGTGAAATGAGTATAAAAGAGTTAACTTAATAATTTTATTATTTATAATTTAATGGGATGGAACCAGAGATTTGTTGGGTGCATTTTTCACCCTGTTATTAAGCTTACCTTGTGATGATAAAGCTTATTTTTATTTTTTTTATATGAAACAATTGCATTTTATTGAATTACAAAACTAGGTTATGATAAAGCTTATTTTAATAGCTTTATTTTGATATGAGAAATGTTATATGGATTTAAAAATTAAATTTAAAATAGAGATTTATTAATTATAACTATTAAATAGACAATAAATTTTAGTAAATACTAAAATTTACAATAAATTCATTGTTATAATCGAATATACTTTTTAAACTCAGGTAACACTCTCTTTTCAGATATATTGGGACCTTTGATTTATTGACTTGTACTAAATATTTGATGTGCATATACAGCATATCTAACCTACAACTATAAATCTGTCCAACCCTCCTGTCTGGAATCGAAGGAGAGGAATAGACTACACTCAAGACCCTCTCTCGTTGCGGGAGTGATCAAGAGAAGCTGATCGTAGACAATCAGGTGATTCTTTTCATTTTCTCTCTCCTCTTCTTCTTTACGTCTGGGTGTTTGCTTGTAATTTTAACCGTGTGGCAACGATAGAGGAACTTTTGGAAATGTAGTTTAAGGAGAGAATAATGAGGGGAGAAATGGGAAGGTAAATTTTAGTGATAGATTTGGAGGGAATGTGGATATGAGAAATTACGGTAACTTGTTGAATTTTCCTGTCCGAAGTGGCAAACAATACGAAAAATTGAGACCGGATTGATTGATTGGTTAAGAATTTCCTCGACCCTTTCGTAGACTCTGCGAATTGGTGGGAGAGATCGGAGGCGAAATAGAATCTGGTGAATGTGTGTGGAGAGAGAGGGGAATGGAAGGTTAAGGTGAGGTACCCTCATCTCTTCGTCATTTATCTTCTCTTCAACCGAAATGCTGATTTCTCTCTCTCTCTCTCACACACCCACACACACAAACACACACACCCCCACAGACGCCCGTGAGTAAGCATATCAGATTTGTTGTCTCTCTCTTCGCACCTATTATTTTCACGCCTGTGTGTGTATGTGTGTAGGTATACTTGTATACATACGTAAGCACTAGCCCTCAATTTATGCTTGCTGATTTCTCTCTCGGTATAGAGGGAGAAAAATAACATGCAAGCCAAAATTAAGACCATACCATTCTCTTGTTTCTGTAGCTTATTATTTTCAGTAATTGAAGACTTCAGTATCTAATTAAAGTTCGCACAAGTAGTTTTGTGATTCTTTGATACCTGTTTTCTTTCTTTTGTTCTACTGCTACAACTTTGTTGCAGAATATGAGTAGTTTGGTTGAGAGGCTTCGGGTTCGATCTGATCGAAGACCCATTTACAATATTGATGATTCGGATGATGAAGCTGAGGTAGTGCGTAAAAAATCTGGGAATACTCAGGAGAAAATAGAAAAAATAGTCAGAGCCGATGCGGTATGTTGTTCTGTTATTTTTTCATTTTACCTCTTTTTTGGAGCATTTTTTTCTAATCTATTGTTGTTTTATTCTAATGCACATTGACGCATAGACTAACAAATCAAATTTATATATTTATTTGATTGGTGGGTGGCGAGTACTTCTTGTTTCTGCCCACAGTTTATGAAGGTTTTGTGTAATGATAGGCTTGTAAAAAACTTTTATGAGCTTTTTCCGACCAAAGGGACAGAAACAAATTTATAGAGCTTAGTTTCTGATTGGTCAAGCAGGTTTCTGTTGAGGCTACATAGAGCTCTGATCAAGGTCAAACCTAATTGAAGTTTGACTAGCCCATTCAAGTTTCCTTTGCTTTAATTTATTGAACTTGAGCTTGTTCATGAGTTTTGGTGAGCTTTTCTCACTGAAGACATGGGTGATTCAATAAAGGACACAGATAAATTGAGAGGTCTTAGTTTCTGAAGTTCAAGATGGTGTCGGTTGAGCCTACATAGAGGTCCGATGAAAGTCAAGCTTGACTGAAGTTTGGCTAGCCTAGTCAAGTTTCTTTGCTTTCTTTTGACCGAACTTGAGCTTTTTCATGAGCCTAAGCTAGCATCCTAAATTGCATGTGCTAATGTGGATTTTTCCAAATGAACTTAATATCTTTACGACTACGAGTATGTACATTGTGTTGGTATGAACTAGATTCTTCATAAGAAACAACATGCTCTTCTTAGGCCATCTACAATCATATGACGTAAATGTTTTCTTGAATTGGGGTAAATATCTGAGTAAGATGCCTGATTTGATATAGGCTACTCCAATGGAGAAACCCAAGTCCCTGTTCAAATCTTTATGGAAATTCCCGTATTCTCCAAAGAACTCATTTCTGACATTATTTTTTTCTCAAAATGTTTTCCTCATTTCTCTTTCTCTATTTCTTTCCCTCTTTTAAACTTGAACAAGTGTAGAAAAAAACCACAGTTTTTAAAAAGTTAAAAAATTACCATGGCCAAATCCTCACTGTAGTTGCCACACATTCTGTTATCATGGAATTTTTAGAGATTCTAGGTTTTAGATTCAAATATACTATGCAAACACAAATGACATTGAAAGCTGCAAAATTTGTATGACAGACATTGTAAATTTCTTCCCTAAATTCACGATTGTACAATGAACCAAGATCTGGTACTTGTAGCTTACCTACAAGTCTTTGAAGATGTGGTGGTTGGGGATGGCCAATGTAGTGAAGGGAGGAGGCTGGCAATGAAGGTCATCGATGGTATTTCTTGTCATGGTGGTTGTGGGGTTTTTGATGTTTGTCAGAATGATGGGAGGAAGCTAGAGGAGTGGAATAGGACTATCAGATTTAAAATAAAAAACTTGGGTCTCCTTGGATTTGAGTCAGAATTTAGATTTTGCTTGATTTGGTAATAAGGTTGGGTAAAATATTAGAATTTTTTTTAAACAAGAGTAAGGGCTGGAGATGCAAGTGAACCTCCAAGGGAGATTTTGAGAATGTGTAATAAATGACCCATCTGGCGGTATTTGGTGGCTATATGTGCTGCCTTCCTGCATTTAATGTGGATCCCACTCCACTGCATTTGGTTGATGGTAATGAAACATGGGAATGGAATGATTATTACTTAGTTATATTCATTCCATTGTTTAGCATATAGTAATTAAAAGTCTTTCTCATTACCATGGAATGCCCAATTCCACCGATGTAGGATTTATTATTCTTGAATATTTGGTGGTATTTCTCATTCCAAACTACCGTCACTCGTCACCACCATCACCACACCTCCACTCGGGTAAGGTCCGGTCGGGTTGGGTTTCGGGGCCAGGGTCGGTTCAGTTGGGGTCGGGGTCCAAGGTCAGGGGATTATCTAAATATTTAAGTGAATTTTTAATTTTATTCCAGTACTTAATTCTAGTTGTTACCAAACATTGGAATGTTAATGTATAATCTGTTCCATTCCTATGTTCAGTCCATTCCAATCTTCATTTCGTTCCCATGTAAAAGCATTATTACGCACCAAACGCAGCGTTAGTGTTTTAGAAGAGCTGTCACATATGCTTTAATATCCTGGCTGAATTGCTGAGTTCGCTTGTTTCCCCTATATAGTTTTTAGGAATCTTGCTTTTATTGTGCTTGATGGCAAACATCTGTTAAGCATATCTGGAAAGTGGTCTCAGCTTAGCAAAATTAGATGAAGTTGCAAATGTGTATATTCTTTCATATTCATATTTTGCTAGAATATAAGTACATATTCACCAAGTGCTCATAATTCTAAGGATGCAAAACTTCAGTAGACCTTGCCTGGAGATATGTTGTCCTCCCATTTCTTGGTGCCTATGGTGGGTTTAATTTTACTGTTCAACAAAGTAAAGGAAAAAGCAGCGTACTTATTACGCCGGTTGAATTGGGAAAGATACTGCATAAAATTTTGGTAGGGATTGCTTGAAAGCGAATCCTAGCAAATAAAGCATGGAAAATTTGCAGAATAGATATTCTGCAACTTAAGGTGCTTGATGACAAATGGAAAGCTCGGTGTTGCATCTAAGAGCTTTGGTTGTTGAGGGTATTGATAGTAGTTGTTCTACCAAGTCTACAATCTTTTCTTCTATTAACTTGTAGACAACTTCGATGTAAAATCAGGTTGGAATAAGGTGACAGAATGGAATATCCAGTTGCTTTGCCTAGTGGGATTTGGTAAAAGATCTCCTTTGATATATTAGTTTTTTGGATTGCACGTTTCTCACCTGAATTTGGGTAAATTACATGGCACCACCTTCCCTTTGGAAATCACAACAACCTCCCTGTTTTGAATTTATGGGCGCATAATTCATGAAGGATAATTTGTTTTCTTGTTTCCTTTGATCAATCTAGGGGTGTCCATGGCCTCCCAATTGAGAAATTTCAAGGTTTGGGCAGTAACAATAACGCATAGTGCTGGGCCTTGACAAAAAATTTTGGTCCCAATCGTTGACTGATGTGAAAAGGCATAGGCCAGGCCCTAAAATATTTACAAAATTTGTATACATGTTTATATTTTCGTAGTTGTATGTGAATGTATGTTGTATACTTGTATATAAAATAAAATGCGGGCAACCCAACCACTTCTAAATATTAAATAAAAAGGTATATGGCCTGGGTCATGGAGCTCAGCCATTCATTAAGAAAAGAATTCCCTGTGTTTTGTTGAGAATAATCCTCATCTCCACTCGATCTATTGCCACTTCCATTTCCACCATGTGATGTAGGATGGTCCTAAAAAAGGTATTTGAAATGGCAAATAAGTTTAAAGAATTCATTGGTGCCAGAAAATATAGGAAAGGGTGCTCTATACAATATTATGGAGCTGTATATTGTCTGAAACTCGTTGTTTTTGGGGGATAAGGATGATGGTCAATCAAAATTCTGCATCCATTGCTGGCCCCATGGGAAGCTTTTTATGAGTTAATCTCACTGACGAAGAGTAATGCTTATACGAAAGGGACTTGATGAAAAGCTGATAACAAGTTTTGTTTTTGTTGTTTGTGTGGTTTATATCGAAGGGTTGCAACGGTTGACGGGGGGTTTTGATAACTCCCGTCGAGCTTTTGGTGTATTTTAAGTTGTTATGCAATTTCAGAATCAGTAAAAATAATCATTTTAGTGGTAGAAATAAGGATGCTGATGATGGCAATTAAACCTATGTAGGAGCGTTAATTATTAATTACTCATCTAGTAACCACGAATAGTACCTTCATGGTTCACTATTCGGGAAAAAAAGGTAACCATGAACAGTAACAAGGCAGATAAAGACAAATGATTTACATTCTTGGAAATTCTTGTAACTGATAGGCAGTGTAAATGTCATTCCAACTTACATCTATACTTTTGTGGTCCATAAATGTCATTGCTTGCCGGTTTTGGGGTTAATCTATTTATTTTGAGGCAAGGTGATTGTTAGATATAAGATGCATAAAGAGCATCATACGCTAAGAGAATTGTGGCTCTCCTTAGCCCTCATGCGGCTTTGCCCTTAGCTCACACATGGTGATACAATTAGTGCTTTTTATAATTTCATGTCTAGGAGTTGAACGTCTAAAAAGACATCGAGGGGTTTTTAAGTATATTTACTTACATTCAACTCGTTTAGGGAACTTATTTTAGCTACCGATGGGTTTGTTCAGAGAGAACCACAAGGACATCATATGGTATTTACTAGACACAAGATAATCTATGATGTAATCCTTGAGGAAATAAAATGGTAAGGGGTTTATTGACCTTGTCCAATTTCGGATATGAACCGTGGAGTACTAACTAGTGTACAAATATTTGCTTGGGTAAGTTGGTTTCTTTGATTTGCTAGTACAATGATTTCTGTCAAGCATTAACATTGGGATATTATGTTTTACTTTTGTTATTGTGAAACTTAGTTGCCACATTTAAACAGTTGCCTAATACTGTAATTTATCTGTTTACAATATCATTGGTTGGCAAAGATTGTATTAATGACAAATTTTACCTGAGCTGTTTAAGCAATAAGAGGTGCTTTGTTCAAGGGTATGTTGGACTGCGTATATTAGCTGTGAGTTTGGAGAATGCTGTAATATGGATGAGGGAAAAAGGAAAATTGATGGCAAATAACTATGCAGAGGTCATTTTTGTTATCTTAGTTAGATAGTGCAGGAGAGAGGCTGAAGAGGGGCAACACTTGGCTACAAGAAAGTGACTTGTTTTCCCACTATAGGCAGGAGCCTTGTGCAGGTTTAACCTTTTTTCACCTAGGACTTGCTATAATTATGGTATCCATCTTAATCCACTTCATTGTTCACATCTGAAAGGTTATATCCATTTATTATTGTGAATGGTTAGCTATAATAATTTCTTACACATCTGGAAGGTTATATGCATTTATTAGTTGTGAATGGTTTAGCTATAATAATTTCTTAACATCTCACTAAATAAGTGGAGAATCATTAAATTGCAAAATGTTATCCTGCCATGTGCCTCCAATGCCAATATAAAGGAACTAAATGATCAAAATTTCGTTTCGAAACGGCCGAAATGGTTTTCCGCTTCCATGGAAACCAAGAAGAAATAGTGATTGAATATTAAAATTCTTATGTTTTGAAGTGTTTCAAAATATTTTGAGGTGCTTTGAGATGTTTGGTACGTTTTGACCAATATTTTGAAAATAAGTTTTGTAATTTTTTCTCCATTTCCATTCTGATTTTAAGATGTTTCGTAACGTTTCTGATTTCTAGGTGTCTAAAACAATGCACCGAAACGAAATCTCGATCATTGGAAGTTACCTACTTAGTTGTATATTATAAAACACCCAAACACCCACAAAACTACCAATTAAAATGGGCCCCACGCCAAAATTTCAGAAATATTGTCTCATCTTGGGCCCGGTGCATAGGAAACTATACTGAAATCCTTTTTATGTGGCATTAACTTGGATTCCTATGCATCTTCAGCGCCTTCTACTTAGATCAATGTAGTTGTCAGACAACTCAGAGCAATAAATTACGATGAATCAATATCTAGGAGCTATATCGAGCATTTGAATTAGTATTCTCATAAATACCCTTTAATAGACCCAGCAGCCATATGCTTAAACATGCATTGAATGCTGGTCTTTTCATTGAACGTAGAAGTAATGTCGAAACCATATGGAGTTTAATGCATTGGCATGTTGGATATTGTATCCACTGAACAAAAAAAAGTTGATGAAGATATATTTATAGTAAAGGCAGGGATGACATCATTTTGAACCACCTCGAAAAGAGGCTGATGGAACATGAATGAGATCTCATAGTGTCTTTTTGAATTAAAACTGGCCAATACATCATGTTTGTTTTGTTCCAGATTGTATCTTTTCCTCATAATATAGTTTATGAGCAAAAGCTACTTTATGATGAATCCTGCCATGTAATGATTGTGAGCATTTGACATAGCTTGACTAGGTAAGTCTTCTGTTATGAATGCATTACCTGGTAAAGCATACATTTGGTGAGCAACGAACTAGGAACCCCTATGAAGTCAGTGCTAGACCAAATTGGAAATGAATCGACTCATTGGCTGTCTCATTAAAGGCCTTTATGCCCTCGCCCCGACTGTCCTCCCTGGAGGAATGTGTGCATCTAAAGAATGTGTTATACTATGTCCAACTCTGAGTGGCTTCTATTCATCTGACAGCAACATGAAGAACTGAATGCAATAAACCTCGTATTTTTGGATGGAATTACCCGTAGAGGGGTAAAAATTGCAATTTATGGGCCTTGAGAGGGATCAAGTAAGTGAATAATTGAAATGGGGTTTTGCATGTAAACATTCCACTCCAGACATGTGAAAAGCAGGTATAATACTTGGAATATAGTCCAGCTAGGGAAATTATGCCAAGATGTTCTAACAAATGATAATTGAGACAGTATTCAGCTCTTTTTGATGATGAAACACTTGTTTTCCATTTCAGTTGTAGGTGTGATTAGCCTGTCATTAATTATATGGTAATTAGGGTTATAAGGAATGGAGCTCAGTTATAGTATTTCGCATAATATTGTTCTACTTTTTTTTTTTGATGTCGATAAATTTGCCTGTATAAAATGGCTATTGGAGTAATTAGTTAAGACAATTCTTCAGCATAGGTCACAGATTACTGCACTAATCTAAAACATTTCTTGAAATGTAAAAATTATGGATTAAGTCTCAAACAATCGTATTTGATTGGCAACAAAGTAAATTTTATTAGTGATAAAAAAGTTTGTACAAGAAGGACGAGAAGTCCTCCGGTGACAGACAAAAACGAAACAAAATGCGCCAACCCCAACAGTTTTCTCTAATCTCTGCATGAACTAAAAGTTGACATTACTAAATTGAAGAACCACTACTTGCTGTTGGTTTTTAGAGGCTGTTTTATCATTTGCCTACCAATGGATTCACCAACAATTTCAGAACTTAAGGTTGCTGATTCTGAACTTGTAAAAAGCATGACAAGTTAAAGCTATTAACATATATATATATATATATNTAAGTCTTCTGTTATGAATGCATTACCTGGTAAAGCATACATTTGGTGAGCAACGAACTAGGAACCCCTATGAAGTCAGTGCTAGACCAAATTGGAAATGAATCGACTCATTGGCTGTCTCATTAAAGGCCTTTATGCCCTCGCCCCGACTGTCCTCCCTGGAGGAATGTGTGCATCTAAAGAATGTGTTATACTATGTCCAACTCTGAGTGGCTTCTATTCATCTGACAGCAACATGAAGAACTGAATGCAATAAACCTCGTATTTTTGGATGGAATTACCCGTAGAGGGGTAAAAATTGCAATTTATGGGCCTTGAGAGGGATCAAGTAAGTGAATAATTGAAATGGGGTTTTGCATGTAAACATTCCACTCCAGACATGTGAAAAGCAGGTATAATACTTGGAATATAGTCCAGCTAGGGAAATTATGCCAAGATGTTCTAACAAATGATAATTGAGACAGTATTCAGCTCTTTTTGATGATGAAACACTTGTTTTCCATTTCAGTTGTAGGTGTGATTAGCCTGTCATTAATTATATGGTAATTAGGGTTATAAGGAATGGAGCTCAGTTATAGTATTTCGCATAATATTGTTCTACTTTTTTTTTTTGATGTCGATAAATTTGCCTGTATAAAATGGCTATTGGAGTAATTAGTTAAGACAATTCTTCAGCATAGGTCACAGATTACTGCACTAATCTAAAACATTTCTTGAAATGTAAAAATTATGGATTAAGTCTCAAACAATCGTATTTGATTGGCAACAAAGTAAATTTTATTAGTGATAAAAAAGTTTGTACAAGAAGGACGAGAAGTCCTCCGGTGACAGACAAAAACGAAACAAAATGCGCCAACCCCAACAGTTTTCTCTAATCTCTGCATGAACTAAAAGTTGACATTACTAAATTGAAGAACCACTACTTGCTGTTGGTTTTTAGAGGCTGTTTTATCATTTGCCTACCAATGGATTCACCAACAATTTCAGAACTTAAGGTTGCTGATTCTGAACTTGTAAAAAGCATGACAAGTTAAAGCTATTAACATATATATATATATATATATTTTTTTTTTTTGATATTTGAATTTATGGCCACTATAGTTTTGATCGGTTCCAACAAAATTGGTTTCCCTTGAGTCTCGAGCCTTTTTTTGTGATCCTGGTTGTTCTCATGTTTGCAGATTTTGGGTAATGTACATCTTTATGTTTCTCAAATCTCATTTTGTTCTTGTTATTATCTTGTTCATAGAAAGATGATACTTGTCAAGCCTGTGGTGGGAGTGGGAATCTTCAGAGCTGTGAAACATGTACTTATGCCTACCATCTGAAATGTTTACTTCCGCCATTGAAAGCTCCTCCTCCTAACAGCTGGAGGTGCCCTGAATGTGTATGCTTCCATAATACTCTGTTAAAATTGCTAGTGTTGTAGAATTCCTATGCTATTGTTACAATGCCCTGATTACTGAGATTTGAAATGTTATTTGTTCGCAGGTTAGCCCTCTAAATGATATTGACAAGATATTGGACTGTGAAATGCGCCCCACTGTTGCTGATGATAGTGATGCCTCTAAGCTGGGATCAAAGCAAATATTCGTGAAACAGTATCTTGTCAAGTGGAAAGGATTATCTTATCTCCATTGCACATGGTAGCTCCACAATTAATAATTTTCATTGATTATATCATAATCTATTATGGAAGCTTGTTATTCTGGCTTAAAGCTCTTTCCGTAGTATAGAATGCCTTGCGGTAAAGTATGCTAACAATGTAATCCATTGAAATGCGTCTAATTGGACTTATGGTACAACAACACTTCGTCTTTGTTTCTTCTTACTATGTTTACTTGCTATTCTTGTTGATTGTAACGCCAATCATTTGTCGCCTTCTTATCTGTTATGTTTTGAAGTTCTAGTTTAGACAGCAGTACCTCACCCGCTGCAAACTTTCTCAGGGTGCCCGAGAAGGAGTTTGTGAAAGTTTACAAGGCACATCCTCGTTTAAGAACTAAAGTAAACAACTTCCATCGTCAAATTTCATCAATGAATAACTCTGAAGATGACTTTGTTGCTATTCGGCTTGAGTGGACTACTGTTGATCGGATTCTTGCTTGCAGGTCTGCTAACATAACTTGTTATATTCCTTTACTTGTGTTACTTGTAAATCGTGCTTTGAAGTTCCTTGCTTTTGAACCTAATGTCTGGTGTTTTCTTTCCTTCTTCTTTACTACCCGGAGTTTGAATTAATTTGGGGAAATTTCGAATGAAATCTGAAGTGCTATATATGCGAAATTTTTACCAGTTCAGGTTGAACTTTGATAAATCAGGAAGTATAAAGGAGCATGAAGTATTAGTATGAAAAAACGAGCCTGAGAAATGTGTAACTGAGCAAGTTGAGCGTTAACCCAATGGCATAGGAGACGTGTGGTTAATTGTGGTGCTCAATTTTGATTTAAATGGAGGAGCTGATAGAGTGAGAGAGTGGTGGTTTGCATTGGGCGCTTGATTTCTTGATTTGATTCGATTTCAGTCGCTGATCATAACCTGTTCCAGGGCTACTGAAATCAGGAGAAGATGCCAACTTTCATGGAAAGCCCTATGCAGTCCAAGGAAAATTAGGAAAGACTTGATGCCAATTCCTTGTGTGACCTATGGTCGATGATAGTGATAATTAAAACCTGTTTGAGAAAGCTTTATAATGGCTAAGATTTTGGAGAGGTAGAAGAAAGTGGTCTCAACGGAGGCAAGTGAAATAGGCCAATAGGGTTTTTTTCTGGCCAGCAAGTAGAATAGAGGTTGTGTGTGGCACTTATTCACACTTCTATGACTTGTGATGGTGCTAGTTTGTGAGTAGGACACATTGATACTAGAGAGGCACTTGAGGGAATTTGGGGGTGAAGGCGAGGGCGATGGTGAGTCCATGATAGGAATGAAGGATTGAAGTGGTACCTGCTCGAGCCAGCTGGTTAGCAGGCAATGCGTCAAGTGGATATGGGTTTCTTTGAAGTAGGCTGATAAGGAAAAGTGGCTTGCTTTAGATCCAACAAAGTTGTGGGCCAATCTCTTACATTTTAGTTGGGCCTTGAGCATTTTATGTGGAAATTGGTTCCCTTAACCCATTGATTCTTCACAACTCTTATTATAGAAAATAAATGCTATTTTGTTTTGTGATTTTTTTTTTCAGTATTATAAATTTTTTTTGGAGCCAGGAAGCATCTACACATAGTTTGCCCCTAAGAAGCACAGAGACGGATATGGGGCACAGATACGACACGACACGGACACGCCGACACAAAATTTTTCAACAAAATAGGATACGGACACGTTAGCGATACGCTAAATAATATGTATTATATATATATATATATATATATATATATATTTATATAAAATCATGTGATAAAATAAAAATATTATCATAATAATCTTTTAATTCATTATTTTCCTAATTTTAAAAATTTACATCATGATATCATTGCATGAAAAATATAATATAAGATATACCGATACACATTTAACATTAACATTCATGATTCAATAATCAATGACTTCTACAACTTTTACTTTTAAAAAATATTTCATTTCGAAATATCAAATTTCAAGAGTCCCAATTTTGTAATCCCATTTTTTCTCACATTACTTTCATATTAAAAGACTATTCCATTTGTATATAAGTTCGTATTCATACCCAAAATTATATTAAATTCATGTCCTATGTTCAATGTAATGATTATAACTTCTTTTATATTATGATTGTGACTCATTTTCCTTTAAAATTATAAAAATAACTCTTAAATATAAAATTATCTGAAAAGTTCTCAAAAAAATTTGAAAATAAATCTCAAAATGTGTCCCCCAGCGTGTCCTGAATGTGTCGGCCACGTTTCCCGACGTGTCCTAAAAAAAATTTAAAAATAAAAAAATCGGACACTCATTTTAACGTGTCCGATAAGTGTCCGAAGCGTGTCCGTGTCTGTGTCCCAAACATGTCCGAGCCCAAAATGAAGTGTCTGTGCTTCCTAGGTTTGCCCTCACATGTTGGTGTTAGACATAGCTGGGACATGGACACATTGGATAAGTTATGCCAAAAAGATGTCCGATTTTTTTTTTTTTAAATTTTTGGTTGAAGTTTGGACACATACCAGACACATTGGAACAAGTCCAGATAAGTTTCATGTGGCCAAATTTGAAAGTAACTTACCAATTTGGAAAAGTAATTCATCATTTGTGCTGTTTGCTATGTCAATGAAGATACAAGAGAATTGCATAGCATGGATGATGGTGAAAAGGAAAAGACAAAGGCACATAGGATATGATCTAATGATCATTCTAATGTGGATAGCAACCAGAAAATTGCATATCATCAACAAAATTTCATTTTAGGTCTTTGTGTAGTCTAATGGGTTTAATGCCGTTAATTGTATTTGAGCCAAATTTTGGCTCTTATACAAATGTTTCATGAATAATGTATGACAGGTTTATTTATGTAATTGGGTTAAATTTGTGGACTAATTTTTAACCAAATAGAAACTTACTAATCAATTTCATGTGGAAAAGAGTAAATTATTCTTGACCTTCCTATGGTTCGAGCAGGGAAACTTTACTCCCTGTATTTTAGAAGCCTACATTTAATCCCTTATAGTTTAGGACTAAAGTGCAATTGCCAACAGGAGCAATGATTTAGTATATAAAGATAATAATGCTCCATATGTTTTCAATATTTGTGCTTTTCGTTATTAAAAAGTTTTATGAAAAATGTGTATAATGAATACGAAGGGAAAATAGTGAAAGAGATTGATTTATTTTAGAGTGATTAAAGTAGGAAATATAGTATGCCAACATATAATAATTATTTTGACATTTTGTTTGGGTAAGTGAAATTTTGGCATCTTTTCTTATATAGACTTTTGACCATTGATCACTTTGGTCCAAAGTCACACAGGGTTATGTGCATGCTTGTAGAATTTAGGGAGGTAATGTGTTAATAGGTCAAACTACAGCGAGTAACTTACTAATTGGCCCTATAAAAATATATAGCGAGCCAAATTTATGAACTCATGATTAGATAAAACTAAACATGCATATTTTATTCAAGGTCTCTTGAGGTGTCCTACTTTTAGAGAAATTGCATCCTAGTGTTGTGACATATTCATTTCTTGTATGTGTATGTGTATTTGTGCTTTGTAGTTTTGTCTACTCAACTTAACTTTGCATTGTTCTAGCTAGTTGTGGTCAGCTACATGATACTTGATTTTCATTGTGCTATATCAAGGACTTTTTTTTTTTTTTTTTTTTTGAAGCACGAGATATTTTTTTTTCACCATCTCATTAAATTTTAAGCTTGGTCTACTCTACCCCTGATAGAGATCGAAAAGGAATTGAATGAGCTTAAATTTAAGAATTGAATTTTATTATTTGTTTTAGTATTATTTTATTAGTTAGGGAATATTTATTTGATTAGGAGTATTAGTTAGAGTTTAACTAGGAGTTATTATAGAGTTTTAGTAGAATAGGAATTTGAGAGTTTGATTATAAAACTCTTTTAGAATTTTAGTAGGAGAATAGTTTTATTTTGGTAGGAAATTTGGCCTATAAATAATGCCGTAATTTTAACTATTTTAGTTAGAGAGAGTGATATAATAAAAAGTGATTTTTCGTAGAGAATTTGTGTGTTTTTTCACCGATTTCTTGCGAAGATGAGGTAAACCCCTTTCACCTCTTCTTATTTCTTCTTCTCTTTCTATTATGTGATTTCTAGTCCTTCCTGTCCTATATCAGTTTGGTATCAAAGCCCAACCTCGATCATTTTTGATTGTGGTTGTGTTTCTTGAGATTCGTTTGTCATTCTCAAGTTTTTGCCCCTTTCCAAAAAAAAACAGGCACAACCAAGTTCAACGAAAAAAAAATACTCACCGTCCCTACACAAAACCCATAACACAAAAATCACTCCGCAAACCCACAAACTTACACAAACATTCCCAAACCTTTCCAAAGTTACAGATCTAACCCCTGAAGTTTTTGAAATTACACTTTCACCCCAAAAGTTATAAAAATTGCACTTTGACTTCATAATTTTTTGAAATTACAGTTTGACCTCAGAATTTTCAAAAAAAAAAGTTCTTAAAATTCTTTTCCAATTAATATGATTTCTAATGCTGAATCAAATGTTTAAGTGGAGGCTTCATCCCAAGCACTAGTTGATTCACAAAAGGCTATGAATGCTAGACTAGATACAATTCAAGCATCTAGCGATTCACTGAGAGAACTTGTGCTCGCTATAGTTTGTGAAACCAAAATAAGTGAGGATTTTAACTTTGTCTCTTTAACTGTCAATCAAAAAGTAGTTGAACATAACCTTCCCGTCATACCACAAGTTCTACCACTACAAGTTTCAATTCGATTAAATTGCAATAAATCGAAGTTATTCAATGTTGATGAGCCCAAAAGTTCTACTTCTACTTATCCTACAACAATTGCTTTTGATAAGCTGATCTCAAAAGATCTTACAAAAGAAGTTAAAGGAATTTCAAAGGGTACTACTACAAATGGAGTTGTTATTTTGTCTCCAGTAGTTTATATGCTTCCTTCACCTATTGTCTATGTTGGATAAGACTCTGATAGATGCAATGCATAAAAGGGATTGTTTTCTACTATGGAGATCTACAATGCTATATTCTTGGAACATAAGCTTCTTTAGATTTTTTGGAGTTCTTGTGGCTTTTTAACTCTTCGGAGAAGAGTTTTTTTTAGCTGTGGAGAATTGATTGAGATCAAAAAGGGATGAGGTGAGCTTAAATTTAAGAATTGAATTTTATTATTTGTTTTAGTATTATTTTATTAGTTAGGGAATATTTATTTGATTAGGAGTATTAGTTGGAGTTTAACTAGGAGTTATTATAGAATTTTAGTAGAATAAGAATTTGAGAGTTTCATTATGAAACTCTTTTAGAATTTTAGTAGGAGAATAGTTTTATTTTGGTAGGGAACTTGGCCTATAAATAATGCTGTAATCCCAACTATTTTAATTAGAGAAAGTGATATAATAAAAAGTGATTCTCCGCGGAGAATTTGTGTGTTTCTTCACCGATTCCTTGCGAGGATGAGGTAAACCCCTTCCACTCTTTCTTCTTCTCTTTTTATTATGTGATTTTTAGTCCTTCTTGTCCTACATCAACCCCTCACATTACCATCAGTTGGTATCACTTTGTTCTTCCTCACAAATGTAGTAGTAGGTCTCTTATAAACACATCCAGACTATGTAAATCGATTTTTTCTTTATTTATTGATATTTCTGCCATTTCATGAGTATACTTTTTTCGTTATTCAAGTTTTTTGTTTTGTTCAAGGAACAATTTTTTTTGAAACGGTCGAAGCATCCGAAATATTTTCATTTCCATGGAGACCAAAATGAATCAATGATTGAATATCAAAATTTTTATGTTCTAAGGTGTTTCGGCGTGTTTCTGTATGTTTTGATCAAATTTTTCGAATGCTTCGCAAACAAATTTCTAGATTTTTTTCTTTGTTTTCGATATGTTTCTAATTATTTATACAATGGAATAGATATAGTTTTTTACTATGAATGCATTCATATGATGATCTGGAGGACTTCATTTGTATTCTGTTTTTTTGATAGGTAGCAAAATTTATAAATAATAAGAAAAATATAGTACAAAAACAGAGCAAGGTTGGACAAGTAGTCCAAACCTAATGCAAAATAAACATAACAATCTTACAAATAAAGCAAAAATAAATATAATATTCTTTTAGCAACTAGAAGTAGCAGCCCAACTTCCCAAAATGCCAAAAAGCTATTGTTTATTATGACGATTGTTGGTTGGGATGTTAAGAGGATTTGAGTCGTGGAGGAAGAGATGTTCAATTAAGGAATTTTTGAATAGGAACCAGATGTTGTAGTTTTACAAGAAATTAAATTGGAAGTCATTGATAGGAGAATCATTAGTAGTGTGTGGGGGTCTAGGTTTAGGAATTGGGTTTTTCAATCTCCTCCTCTTCCTCATCACCTTGGTGGGACCCCGCTGCATTAAGCTCATGGTGAGATGAGATGAAAGATAGTTACTTTAGCTTCCGATTTGTATGCATGATTGATCTGTTGCTTTGAGACTTCATGAGATGAGAGAAAAGAGAACACAACTTGACGTCTATTTTTTTTTTTGAGTAAAAAGATTTGTACGACTCTTCTAGAAGTCTAGGAAATAATAAGCTGTGACTGCCCATAGCTAGTATGCTGTGGCCACCTAGGACAATATTTTTTTTATCCTAAGCCCATTATTCTTATTTTAGGTCAATCTTTTGCCCATTATTCATGTTAATTTTTTCCTTTGGGTTTTTATGTTTCCCTATTTCTATTTACTTTTGTGGTATTCATGTTTCCAATTCCGAGTCAATTTCAACTTTGTGGGGCATAAAATATTTTCCACTATTTTCGTTTTCTATTTAATTTTACTCTTTGACTCTTACAAATTCATATGTCTCTTTTGTGTATGCATATATAATTAAAATAATATTAAACAACTATTACATATATAACATAAATTTTAAACTACTATGTTTATATAGATGCATAATTACATAATATTTTGCCTAATGGTGAAAACGACCTAGATAAGACTTTATTGCGAACTGCGACCCAAAAAATGAACGTACCCTGTACTAGTATCCATACTGCACTCTAAAGCGACCCACGATCCAGGTAACCTTGGGTGAAAATTGGCGTCAGTAAGTACCAACAAAAACCTTTTGATGCTTAAGTAAGTAACTAATAAGTGAAAAATCTTATTGCAAGGTAAGAGTGGGTGTTTCTTGCGTTTGTTTTTCAGATAGTGGTGATACCTTGTATGAGACATGCATGGCGGCTAAACCACATCCTTGAAAATGAATCAATCCCGTTGGTGGTAATGTTTGCTTGTGGTGATGAGCTGACAACTTTTCTTTGTTGGAAGCCAGATCAACATCATGACAACGGCATTTTGGAAACCGTCGGGCCTGCTACAATATGGGTGGGAATAAACATAAGCTGCATCTTGGTGTGGTTAACTTTTTTCCAATTGTTAATTAAGACAGTTCTGAAACCTAATGGTCGGCTATCAGTAGTCAAATCAATGCTGCAATCTTGATAGTGAAGAAGCCTCATTTTATTAGTTAATTAAAGGTGCAAGATGTCGCTTTGCTATGTAAGCTGCCTTATGATTTGTGGATGAAGCCAGTTGTATGCCAGATAGAAATCTTTAGGTTGGCTAGATAAAAACAATATTCTTGAGATAGAAGAATTTTATTTTAATTGGAAGAGATTGAGGCGGTCATGGAGCCAATAGGTGGATGCCACATGTTATAATACTGGCATAAAGCAACCAATAAAATACAGAAAACTATATCAGAGATACATGTAGAGAGGCTTGCCCAGTATCCCTAACCGTGGCTTGGTAATTATGCCTATCAGTATTGTGCCCAGTTGCCCAGTTGCTTGTTGTTAGGAAGCATGCCTATCATATTTGCTAGAAAATTTGAAGGTCAATCTTATGACATTGCTCGGTACGTAGGGATATGAGACCATCAGCTAGGCTGGGGGTTTTATAGGTTAATGATATTATCAGAGGTTTGGTGTCCTTGTCATCTGCATAACATGTACTTGCTGACATGCCACGCCACGCCACGTGTCATCACTATATTTCTACTTCCTCAGTGCGAAACATGATGCTCCTTTCCATTGTACGAAGAGCAAAGTGCTGGCATAGAAAGTTCTATCTCACTATAATCTCCTTCGCAGTTTCTGTTTGGGATTTGATAAATTTTTAAGACATGATTGATGGTTAGATGTAGTGTTTTGTTTTATTCTGATTGTTGTTAATAGTGATAATGTTGAACACCAATGCTGAGTCTGAGAGCTGCTTTATTATTTCTATAATTTAACAGGGGTGATGATGACGAGAAGGAGTATCTAGTAAAATGGAAGGAACTGCCTTATGATGAATGTTATTGGGAATTTGAGTCAGATATTTCTTCGTTTCAGCCAGAAATTGAAAGGTTTAATAGAATTCGGTCTAGATATGGCAAACTATCTTCAAGTAAGCAGAAGAGCAGCCTTTGTGATGCGACAGAATCAAAAAAGAAACACAAAGAATTCCAGCATTATGAAAGCAGTCCAGAATTTCTTTCTGGCGGTATTATTATTTTGTTTAATATGCACTTTCTGAAATCTGTCATTGGTGTGTGTAGTTTTGGTTCTTCATTTGATGATACCTAAGTGCATTTTTTGGTGTGACTGAAGGTTCACTGCATCCATATCAGCTTGAAGGTTTGAATTTCTTACGCTTTGCTTGGTCCAAACAAACTCATGTGATACTTGCGGATGAGATGGGGCTTGGTAGGCTTTATTTTGTGCTCTCTCTCTCTCTCTCTCTCTAAATTTTATAGGAGTTGCTCTTTGTATGCTATATTTGAATTTGCAATTGGTTTGGTTCATGTTTATGAGTGCAGGTAAAACAATACAGAGTATTGCATTTTTAGCATCTCTTTTTGAAGAGAGTGTCTCCCCTCATTTAGTTGTGGCTCCCCTTTCCACTCTGCGGAACTGGGAACGTGAATTTTCCACATGGGCACCTCATATGAATGTTGTATGTACCTGGGATGTGGATAAAACTTATCATTTTAATTTTTATGAATTATCTTAAATAGAGTTCATTGCTGCAGGTTATGTATTTTGGCTCGGCACAAGCTCGTGCTGTCATTAAGGAATATGAATTTTACCATCCCAAACATCTTAAAAAGAGCAAGAAAAAGAAATCTAATCAAATTGTGGCTGAAAGCAAGCAAGATAGGATAAAATTTGATGTGCTTCTAACATCATATGAAATGATCAACATGGATTCAGCATCATTGAAACCAATTAAATGGGAGTGCATGGTAATATCCTATGGCCCACTTAGTACATTGCCATATCCAGCATGAGTTTTGCCTCTTAAAAATGGTGATATCTCTATGTAGATTGTTGATGAAGGTCATCGTCTGAAGAACAAGGATTCAAAGTTGTTTTCTTCATTGAAGCAGTATTCTAGCAGACATCGTGTTCTTTTGACTGGAACTCCTCTTCAGGTTTATTGTCAAATTGCACTACAATTCTTGCGGATATTTCAGATTCTGTGTTCTTTATTGATATTCATGGCATATGCATAACTACGTTGTGCCATGCTCATGTATTAGAAGACATATTTTTCATTTAGTGATAAATTTAACTTGAATGAAAGCATTTTTTTCTGATGTACTTAATAAAGATGAAGTGAGGTTGATCTCGTCAAACTGTTAAGGCAGAAATTTGTTGATTTACTTTAGTGGATAGATATGAATGCAAGCAAATCCTCCTCAACTATGCAGAAGCTGCCTAGCTATGAGCTAAGTATTTGAAGGATTTTTGTCTGGTAAATGCCTGCGATTTGGTGCAGTTTGGATTGCTTAAATAAGATTTTTCAATGTTGCTGCTTTATTTCCTAAATTTACTTTACAAATTACTCTTTCATGATATTTTTTTCTCTATTGATGAATTTGATACACTTGGAATAAACGTGAGTGAAAAGGGATACTCAAACTCAGAGTAGAGCCCCCTATATATATAGTCAAATAATAATACAAAGTGATCTAAACATCTTTGTGGTCTAGGCAAAATATAAAGTCATAGTAAGGGTAAAAAAAGGAAAGAAACCCTAATAAGCTAGATTATACTCTAACACTCCCCCTCAAATTAGGCGCAAAAATATCAACTACGACAAGCTTGACAACGGAGTCCCGGAGAATGGATAAAGTGACAGGTTTGGTGAAAACATCCGCAACCTGATCACTAGTCCCCACAAACAATGGAGTGACAATACCACAACGAACCTTCTCCTGAAGAAAGTGAATATCGATCTCTATATGTTTCGTCCTCTCGTGTAATACAGAGTCAGAAGTGAGCTGAATAGCAGATTGATTATCACAATATAATGTAGATGAAGAAGTCACTGGAAATCCCAACTCGCCAAGAATCGATCGTAGCCAGATAATTTCACATGTGCTAAGTGCCAGTGTCCAATACTTTGTCACTGCTGATGAACGAGAGACAACTGCTTGCTTCTTGCTCTTCCAAAAGATAAGATGAGTCCCTTGAAAAGCATAGAAGCCTGTAGTAGATCAACTGTCATATGCTCTCCTATAATCTGAATCTGAATAACAGGCTAGAGAACTAGTCTAAGATCCTGATGCATAGAACAATCCAAGTACAGGACAAGACTTGAAATACTGAAGAATATTATAAACTGCATCAAGATGAGGCTGACACGTCCTGTGCATGAACTGACTAACTCGGTTGACAGCGAATGAAATGTCTAGCTTAGTGTTGGCTAGCTAGATTAGTCTACTTACCAACCTTTGATAGACAGTCGAATCTCTCAACTCCTCACCTTCAGCAGTAACCTTCAGGTTTGGAATCATGGGTGATGATGCCGGTTTACACCTCAGCATTCCAGTGTCAGAGAGAAGATCCAAAATATACTTTCTCTGAGAAAAAACAATACCCCTGCTGCTACGAGCAACCTCAATCCCAAGAAAGTATTGCAGAAATTCAAGGTCCTTCACATTGAAGGCCTTCCTAAGGTCTACCTTGACCTGCACAATCCTAAAAACATCATCTCCAGTAATAATAATATCATCAACATATACCAAAAAAATGACACTTGTCCAGAAGTATTCCGTCTAATGAAGCAGGTATGATCAGAATGACATCTGGTGAACCCCAAATGTACGATTACATCACTAAAGCGAGAGAATCAGGCTCGTAGTGATTGTTTCAGTCCATAAAGAGTCTTAGGTAGTCGACATACCTTTTCAGCATACTCCCCCTCACCACGAAAGCCCGGTGGTGCATCCATATAAATAATCTCGTCTAGATCACCGTAAAAAAACACATTTGTCACATCTAACTGATGAAGAGGTCAAAGTTACTCCACAACTAGGGAAATAATCAATTGAACAGTTGTCAATTTTGCCACGGGGGTAAATGTAGCACCAAAATTACGACCTGGTACTTGAGTAAAGCACTTCGCCACAAGCCTAGCCTTGTGATGATCAATAGTACCATCCACAAGAAACTTCAAGGTGTAAACCCAGCGACAGTCAATAGGCTTCACCTCTGAAGGTAAAGAGACAAGATCTCATGTATGATTACGCTAAAGAGCGTCCATCTCCGTCTGCATGGCAAGAACCCACTAGGACTCCCACATAGCCTCTGAAATTAAGTGAGGAATCAGCGTATTTGATAAGATCATACTATAAACTTGAAATGTAGGAGAAAGATCACCATAAGAAACATAAGTAGAGATCAGATATAAAGTCCTAGCGGTCCAACCATAACGAACAACTGGAAGACGATCACTCTGTGGATAACGACGCCCTAAATCATCATCCTCCATTGACAATGTCTCATTAGGGAAAGTAATTAGCTCAATACCTGCAATCTCATCAGTACTAACAATAGGTGCATCAATATGCTCAACAAACTGAAAAGTATTACCTGCATTGCCTGAGGTAGAGAGAACATTAACGGGGGGATGAGGGCGAGGGCGATGAGCATAAACCTGCAAAGGAAGAGAGACTGGTGTCTCTGTACTGATTGGGACAAATGGCTTTGGAGGAGGAGAGACTAAGACTCTGTAGTGATAGTGATCAATGGCTTTGACTCTTATGGTAACGAAAAATCAAAAGGGAGTATCATCAACTGTAGGGGCAGACACAGGCCTGGAATAAAAATAAGGAATGTGCTCAATAAAAGTAACATCTAGACTATGATACATACGGCGTCTGACAGGATCTTAACACTGATACTGCTTAGATTGATGATAATAGCCCACGAAGACACAACAAATCGCTTTATCATCAAGCTTATGGCGAGTAGGAGACCGATTCTGAACAAAACATGTACAGCCAAAAACACGAGGGACTGAAAAAAGTTTATGCTCAGTGAATAAGACTTGTAAGAGAGCCCTATGCTGAAGAACACGATTCGGTGTACGATTACACAGAAAGGTAGAAGTCAAAATAACAAAATGCCAATAAGATTTTCGTACCCCCGTATCTCTAAGCATATAACGTACGATCCCTATTATATTCCTATTTTTTCTTTCAGCAACTCTATTTTGCTCAAGAATATATGGACAAGTAAGTTGCTGAAGAATACTCTTAGAGGAAAGGTGAGACACTAAGGGCATAGGACACATATTTTTTGGCATTATCATAAAACGAAGAGCACGAATAATGACATCGAATTGTATCTTAATCATCTGGAGAAACTGAGTGATGATAGGGAGTATATCAGACTTCTTATACAAAAGGTAAACTCAAGTATAACGGGTATAGTCATCTATAAATGTCACATGGTATCGAGCACCCGACGGAGCAGTAATAGGAGAGGGTTCCCAAATATCAGAGTGTATTAGGTCAAATGGCTTGGGTGATTGGTGCATGCGAGGAAAATAACTGGTCCGAACATGTTTCGATAGTGAACATATAACACAGTCAAATTTATCACCAACACAAGCATTGTTCAAAGCAAGAAATAACATACATAAATATTTAAACTTTGTATGCCCAAAACGGTTGTCACAACTGAACAGTTTGTGATGAAAAATCATAACGACAAGTACTAGGCAAAATATTTGAATGCAAGTTAGGAACAGATAAAAACAAAGCAGGTGTAGGTGATGGAGGTGGAGGAACTAGTGAAATTGGAGATGGATCGCCTAGATAATACAATTCATCTCTCTTATGCGCCTTGATAATAATCCTCTTGGTACTCAGGTCCTACAAATAACACGAATTAGCTAAAAACACAATCACAAAGTGAAAATCTCTGACTAACTGATGTACGGATAATAGATTTATGACTAGTTTCGGCGCATGAAAAATCGAATGTAGTGTAATGCCATCTGGGTGGCGGACTGTACCCCTACTAACAATGAAGGCATGTGTCCCATCTGCTAGCTGAACCTGTGTATGTAATTGCTCATGAAAAGTGGTGAAGTGATGAGCCTCACAGGTCATATGACCATTCGCAGCCGAGTCTAGCATCCAAAGGGGAGACGGACTGGCGCAAGCATGAAAGACATGAGGTATACCTGTAGTGGTGGTTTGAGGCTGTCGCTGGTCGGTGTGTTGGTTCGTTGCCGCTGCTGGTGGTCGGTGTGCTGGTTCGTTGGTGGTGATTGATGATGAGGGCTGCCGGTGAGGATGATGGAGAAGGTTAGGGTTAGGGTATGACTCTGATACCAACTTGGAATAAATGTGAGTGAAAAGGAATACACAAACTCAGAGTAGAGCCCTCCCTATATATAGTCAAATAATAATACAAAGTGACCTAAACATCTTTGTGGTCTAGGCAAAAATATAAAGTTATAGTAAGGGTAAAAATGGGAAAGCAACCCTAATAAACTAAATTATACTCCAATAGATACTGATGAATTGCAATTTTCAGTGATAACGTAATTGTAGATATTGCAATAATGAGATGAACCCCTAATTTCCCACTTCCTTTCAAATGTTGCACTCATCACTTTTATTGGTGTGCTACAACTGACTGTGGTTACTACAGGCTATTATTTTGCATGCTAATATTTTTGTTGTATGGCAATGATGATCAATTCTTCTGTATTAGGAGGACGAATCTTGGCCTTTGTTTTTTTAGTATTTCATATGCTTTTATCTTTCTCAAGTAAACTTTTACCATGTATAGCTGCCTTATATTAACCTGCTTTTCTTTCATTTTGATTGTTGGTTTTGAGATAATTTGTGACCACTTGTGTTGTGTATTTCAGAACAATCTAGATGAACTTTTCATGCTCATGCACTTCCTTGATGCTGGGAAGGTCAGTGTCACTGCAACTTCCTTAAAGCAACTATCACCAACAGCAAGAGGAAAAATTAGATAAGTGTGAAGTGCATTCTCTTAATATTCTCTTAATATTCTCTTCTATGTTCTTGCAGTTTGGTAGTTTAGAGGAGTTCCAGGAAGAGTTCAAGGATATCAATCAAGAGGAGCAGATTTCAAGGCTACATAAAATGTTGGCCCCTCATCTTCTTAGAAGTATGAATCTGGAACTTGTGCTTGTGCTTGTACTTGTCATTTAGTTGTTCGAGTTAATATTCTCGACTTTAGCTGGGGTGTCTTTTTTTTTTTTGCCCACCTAATTTTATTTGATGATTTGATGTGACTACTATGACCACCTTTGTGCTGCTATAATTTTCAAACTTGATGTCTGGACAGTTAATGCCTTGTCACGCTTGCACATCGAGTTAATCGGTGTGGCCCTGTGTTTTATTCCATTTATGTTTTGTATGGAGGGATATGACACGTGCTATTTTGGCCACTGTTTGGGTAATCTCGTTGGAAAGAAAATCGAGAATTGAGAATAAGAGCGAAGTCGTGGAAGGATTATGGTTGACATATATTTTTTGGCTTCTTGATGGACTTTGGTTTGAAAGGATTTTGAGAATGTTCCTCTCTTTGGTCTTATTGCGGGTTTGAAAGCTCCGTGTGGCATATAATCTGATCGTTAGCTCCTAATAGTGTTAGGTACTGTTTAATGATTTGTTTTGTTTGTACCGTTTAATCCACCTTGGTCATGGCTTGTGATTTCATTATATTACAACTAAAATTGTGTTTCTTATAAGAGAAAAAAAACCCTAGATTTAACTGGAACCTAAGTAAAGTAGATGTTCCAAAAAAAGAAGGTTATTCAAAATATTCCAATGATTGGTATTAAAGAAAAGGGAAAGGTGATGTTAGGAAAGTTATGGTCTCTATTTTTCTGTTTGTTTGGTTGCAATATTGTCTCAAGATGAGGCCAAGGTTTCCTTCTGAAAGAAGGCAATTGTTTATTCAGGCATATACTGGCAACTAATCATATCATGACCCGTTTGGTGAAGATTGCAGAAAACTATATATGAAGTTGGTGTTTTGTTAGCAAACCTTATCTACATTCTTTAGCCCTGCCTAGGGCTTTCGCTAAATTGCCCAGATCTCCAAGATGTGGTATGTAATTAGATGACACCTGGGGAAATTATTTGCTGCTGTTGTTGTTATGTATGAGCTTTTTGGTGTAGATTACTATGGTAGTTTTAGCTTGTCCTGGGTTTACCCTACTAGAATAATGATGCACTATTGAAGAAATGGACATGTAAGGCTCAAAAGCAAAAAGAATTCATTGTAAATTTGTGAGATCCCATATTTCATATAATATAAATAATATTAACTTGATATTATTTTTAAAATGATTAAAATTATGAGAAAAACTTCAAATCGTTGTTAAAAGAACGGTCGCGTAAGTTTGAGGTATGGGCGTTTTGACTTTTTAGTCAAATTTAATTTTTGGAGGTGTTTTAAGGTTGATAAAAGTAATTAAGTAAATATATTAATTTTTTTTAGGTCAAAATAACATTACGATTAAATCCGGGAGGTCCAAAAACCTTAGAATAGACATTTAGAGCATATAGCGCTTCGGAAGGTTAAAATGGTAACTTTAGTGTTTCGGGTATAAATTGACTTTAGTTTTGAGATAAATCATAAAATTAAATGTTTTTAGGTTAAAATAACATTAAAAATGAATCTGGAACGTCTAAAAACCTTAGGGTTGTCATAAAGATTAAATTGGAGATATTTAGTGGCAAAATCGTAAGTTCGGAGAGAAATGCAATTTTTGGGCCTATGAACAGTAAAATTCTGGATTTGCTGGTTTTAAAACACCATTTTCAGCCCCATTTGTCCCATTTTTTCTTTCCATTTTCAGCCAATTCCTCTTAGAATCCTAGGACAAGATAAAGGGAAAGAGCAAAGGGTAGAACAAGATCTCTAGAGCTTGGTTTTTGTTTGAAAATCTAAGAACATTACTTAGGATTCTTGGATCCACTTGGACATTTGAAGGTGGAGGTTGGGTTCTTGAGTTTTGAGGTAGGGTTTTCCTTTCTCTTGCATAGACATTGATGCATCTCATATATGTTCTATATCTATTTGTTTAGTATGAGTTAAATACATGCTATGATTCTTAATTAAATGATGAGTTTACTATGAATTTGTAAACCTACATGCATTAAATGAATTTGGGTATTGTGGGTTTGAAACCCTAATTTAATTTTTTTATGGGTGTTTGATTGAACTTAAGATTTTAGATTCTTTAGAGTATATGTGATTGTGTATATATTGTAAATGTGTATTTGAAGATTTTATGTCTATCATGTGTTTGATAAAATGTCAAAGTGCCTATAAATATTGAAATTATAAATTGTGGAAAGAGGTATTGATTTTTATGATATGATTGAGTATATTTTACCATGATTTGGGGTATTGTTAAGTTATTTTAAAGTATGAAACGGGTGATATTGATCTATATAACTTCTCAATAATTTAATTTGCGAAATTTGCTATAAAAGGGTAAAATTGTATTTTTGGTGTGAGTTATTTTGAAAATGTGTTATGTTGGAAATAGAAATGTCAGATTTTGTAAAACTATTTGTTTTTTTAAAAGTATCGAAGTTGTGGTTGGTGTTGGGAATGGAAGGTGATCATGAAATTATGGTTTGAAACTTGTATGCTCGGTACCGACAGATAGAGGGTTTAGTAGACGTTTGGGGCCCTTGAGGGGGGTTACCAAGGCGACTACTAGTCCTAGGGGGATTGGTGATGGTAGTGATTTTCGGTGACAGCTTGTGTGGCATCACAAGTTGTGCCCTGCACATCTCCCTAAGAAGTAAGAAGGGCGATGGGACCCTAAGATGCAAGACCCAAAAGGTTTTCAAGGGATGGTTCATTTGTGAACTGGTGTTTGTTTGATGATATCTGTCCGTATGGGTAACATACATGGATATTGGGTGCCAAGAAACCAATAGACCAGTATTTCAACAAACTTCTTGAGTGGGGTGAGGTAAGGTGAGGTTGAGGCGAAAGTACGTGGAGTTAATATTTTTGAAAAATACTTTGGAAAGAACAAGTTGATGAAATTGTGTTCAAAATAAGAAATGATTACTTTACCAGATTTGTTATAAATATACTTGTATAAAGATTTCGCAGTTTGTACTTTATAAAATCAATGATTTTGTATTATGTTTTAAAAAGAGAGGTTTTATAGTGTTATTTTGAGATTTGATTTTGACGTGGTAAATTCTTTGATGTTTCACTTACGTATTTCAAATGATAGTACGTAATGTACTTTCAAAAATACTTTCTACTTATCGTATACCTAGACTTATTGATAAATTATTTCTTTGCCTATCAATATAATTGTGAACTGTTGGTATTTAAAACCTTATATATGCTTGAGAAAAAGATTATCCTAGTGAGTGTGTGGTTGCTTACGCCTATCATTTAACATTTTCAGTTATGGGCATATGTTTGTGGATTGCATAGTGAGAGTATCGAGATAGAAGATAGTTGTTATGATTTATTTAGAGTATGTAAAGAACAATGTAGGATGATGTATATTATTGAGAATTTGTAAATGAATTATATTTTGGTTAATTTGAGGGAATATGTATAGATTGAGACTTTTTAAATGGTTTACTTATAAATATTTTAGATATTCTGCATATTATGTTCATGATGAAAAATTTTGGATAATTAGATTGTAACCCGGATTTGGGAGGACTTCGTGGACCTCCATTTGCTACCTCGGTTTTGAACAGTAATGATGTATTTGCGGATGCCATGAAAATGGATGTATATGGTTGATATGATGTGAATGATTAGTTATGTATAATTATTATGTTTAATGCTTTCACAGGTAGTTCTCACAAATTATCTGGATGCTCGGTTTTCAAAGGAAACGTTGCCGAAATTTTCTAAAAGAAAAATGATTTATTTAAACTAAAGAGATACTTTCCTAGATGTTTTTACAATAAACCAACATGTTTTTTTTGGAATAAACTTAGTTTTTGTTGTAATCATGTTTTTATGAAATTTGGAGTGTGACAAAATTCCTAGTGTTATTGTACTAAATCCAGATGACAAGGGCTTGGTTTCTCGCCAAAACAAAACATCGGCATTTTGAGAATAACTTGTAATTAAATTTATGGAACTTGAGTTTCTTCGTATTCTGCCTCTCTCTCTCTCCCTCAAGAAGTTCTGGTCATTACAATGTTGGTTTGCTAGGGCCAGTTCTTGTCAAAATGTAAACTGATATAAATGTCACATAATTATCATTCCAAATCTATACTATTTTCTGAAAATATGGCTGTAAAACTGTGTTTGATGAATTGCAGGAGTGAAAAAAGATGTCATGAAGGAGCTACCTCCTAAAAAGGAGCTCATTCTACGTGTAGAATTGAGTAGCCAGCAGAAAGAATACTATAAAGCAATTCTGACTCGTAATTATCAGATACTAACTCGCCGGGGTGGTGCCCAGGTCGGTTGACATGCTGTTGTGTTAAACGTTCTGGTCATGCTTATTGTCTAAGATCTAACTTTGCCTGATTGTTCCTGATATCAGATTTCTCTCATCAATGTGGTCATGGAACTGCGCAAGCTCTGTTGTCATCCATACATGTTAGAAGGAGTTGAACCAGTTGATACTAATGAGTTTCATAAGTAAGACTACGCATGTTTATTATGAAACTATCATGTCTTTTGAGTTGTTAGAATGCTGGTTTAATGTCTACATATGCAGTAAATTTGCTATTACCCCTATTGCTGTGTTTAGGGAGACTGTTCTGTCCTGAATTACTTCTTTTTCTTGTTCATTAAAAGGAGTGTTTTGATGGTCCTCGAAAGATAAAAAAATTAAACTTTTGCGGTGCTTTATAATTGCCAATACTCTCTCGGCCTCTGTTCATTGTCTGCCTTCTGATTTTTGCTTCTATAACTCATTTTCACTTTGCAGACAGCTGCTGGAATCTTCTGGGAAATTGCATCTTTTGGACAAAATGATGGTGAAGCTCAAGGAGCAAGGACACAGGGTTTTAATATATTCACAATTTCAGCATATGCTGGACTTATTAGAAGACTATTGTAATTATATGGTATGGTTGCAGAAACTAATTTTATGGTTGTCTACTTATGTCCAGATTATGATTAGGTATTCCTTTGTATCTTTGTCAGAAATGGCAATACGAACGGATTGATGGAAAAGTTGCTGGAGCTGAAAGACAAATTCGAATAGATCGGTTTAATGCAAAGAATTCTTCCAGATTTTGTTTTCTGCTATCTACTAGAGCTGGTGGTTTAGGAATAAACCTTGCCACTGCTGACACAGTTTTTATATATGATAGGTAAAATTTTATGTTTCTGGGTTTCTGGGTTTCTGTTTCATTTTTTTCTTGTTTTGAATTGGTTATAGAAAAGTGCATGAATTGATTGCAGAAAAGTGTTAGTAATAGTGGTATTAGTTGATAACTTAGAAGGATAATATGATAGGTGTCGGATAAGCTACCTGTCGAGTGAGGCAATGAAAATGATAAGCATTAATAGTGTCATGTGCCTATGATGAGAAATGTGCCTATGATGAGAAATGTCAGCAAGTAATTTCGAAAGGTGATGGACGGTTAAACACAAAATGTGTCCAGATGATGTTGTCAAGTCTTAGATGATCATGTAGAAGAATTAAAAATGTTTTGATTGCTTCTATAGCCTTCCAAACTTACGCTGATTGTTATACTCCTTGGCTTGCTGCTCTATGTTCTTGTGTTTTTGTGGGCTAAATGCTACCTCCAAGGCTTTGTTTTGATTGGAGCTTCAGCTACAACTTAGTCCTATTTAAAATATTTGTGCTACTGCTTATTGTTGTCTGTAGGCCCACAGATAAAACATAATCAGAATTAAGCCCTAATGTCCCTAAATTGCTTAGGAGTTTTTTGTGGGAAGAAAAAACAATATTGCATGTATTTCAACCATCTGTGAGAGATTTTCATAGAATTAGCATTAGAATCAACAAAAATACGTTTCTTGAAGCAACTAATAAGAAATGAAGGATATGTTATTAGTTCAGGACACAGAAGCAAGAAACATAGTTAAAGGTTCTTATGTTCAAATACCGGTTAGATTGACTATTTTGAAGATTCCATGAAGACAGAATATGGTTTACTAGTGGAGCTGTGGTGTTGCATCTACATATGCATTAACAGATATGTCCACAACTGGTTTAGCTTATGTGGGAAGAAATTTGAGTCTTAATCCACAACTAGAGGGGAGAGCATTGGAATATGAATCATGGATTACTTGAGGTGCTGCAGGAAACCTTAAAGCTTCTCCTGATGCTATTCTCTTATTCATAAATTAATTAGTAGTCTTTTGAGAAGAGAATGAATTTACACCTTTCCTCTAGTGATTATGTCTTTCACACTACTGAATGATAATTGTATTTTTTTTCTCCAAAAAACATGATAATGTTTTATTATTTTATTTTATTTTTGGTGTGAAACAAAAAATATAATAAAATAAAGAAACACGTATAATGTAGTAGGCAAGACATCCAACCATTATCAAAAGAAGAATATACAATAGAAGGAAAAAGAGGAAAACATCGAAACAAGTTACATACTTACATCAACATGGAGCTATGGAAGTATTTGTTTAACTACATGCTGCCATCCAATCAAGATTAAGGGAGAGAGAATGCACATCTTTGAACTCTTTTGAAGTTGTCACCCATAGAGAAGCCAAAAACTTGATTTTGTCCCATAGAAAGTCCACATATTTGTCTTTGTCCTTAAAAATTGTTTTTCCTTTCAAACCACAACACCTAAAAAAATTCCATTACCACACTGTCCTCCAACATAAGTGTTTTATACACATTCCCAACCAAACCAAGATCTGTCTCAAATAAAGAGGCACACCCTGTTGGAATTACCCAACTCAAACTAAACTCACCAAAAGCTCTATACCACAAATTCAAGCAATTGGACAATGAAGAAATAGATGATCGGCAATGCATTGCCACTCCTGCATATTGCACCATTAAGGAGAAAGATAGGTAGTTGCTTTTACTGAAAGGGTTGTTTTGAATTTTTGAGAAATGCATGAAATCATATGTATAAGTTGTGATGCTTGAAGGGAGATCTACAGTTCATTCATTTGTTGTGGTTGATAACAATGGTGTGTTTAGAATGGATTTGGAATCTTGTCTAGTTAGGGGGGAGGATCAGTGCACAAGTTTGGTTGGGAGATTGGGTGCACTTAATTCTAAAGCACCTGCAATTGAGAAAGTTAGTCGTTGAACAAATTCTAAGTGGGTTTCAATCGGCTTGCTAGGTATTCTAATGGTCAATTCAGTATTTCCGTTAATTTTTCAATTGGAAAATGAAGCACTGACAATTTTGTATTTACAAGATTGGGTGTTAGAAGGTAACCCATTGTTTCTTGATAGATGGGTGCCCAGGGCGGGGTTGGAAAGAGCATGAAGTAGAAGGGTTATAGATGGGAATATATGACGACGATTGCAGGCTTAGGGCTGTTTGTAGAATGGAAGGATAAGGAGTGTGTTGATGAATTTTAATAGAAAGGGAAGGACATTAACGACGATAAGGGGCATAAGGTGGTCTTGACCGGAGCAGGTTGTGGTATTCCTCAGGCCCCCGGGGGGGGGGGGGTAATAGACACACAAAAGTCTGATGTTGGTGGTTCAAAATCTGTTAGTTCTTCTCTTGTTTCATCTCCCAATGTTATTGTTGATTTGTTACTCCTAATTCCTGTTCTACTCCTACGACGCCTGTAAATGAAAATTCAAGAATTTTAAAGGGAAGATTAGATCTGGTGATGGGATTCTTCCCATTTTGTGGAAGCGTGGAACATAAACTAATTTAGCTTCATGCCAAGGAGGATTAGGTGGTGAAGGGAATCCAGTAACTATTGACTTATTGGGAAATTAGAGGGACAACGATTGACACTCACTCTTCTTGAAAAAATGGAATTGAGGTTGGTAAGTCCTTAGAGGAGAAGAGATTCGAGTGAGAGGGTTTCTAGCAGTATACAGTAGGAGGAAGAAGAAGGGTGAGTGAGAGTTGAGGAGTTTACAATGTGAGATTAATTATGATAGGGGCACTGGTAGAAGGGGAGGAGGTATTAGAGTTTCTTAATGAAGTTTATTAGTTTGAAATGTTAGGGGACTTGGTTGTTGGAGGAAGGGAAAGATGATTAGAGAGGTGCTTTGTAGGTTTTCTCCATATTTAGTTATAATACAGTTAGAATGAGTTGATGGGACTTTGGTGAGGAGTGTGCGGGAGTCTAGGCATAAGGATTGTGCATTCCTTCCTTCTTGTGGGTCTTTTGGGGGTATTATTGTCATTTGGAATACTAGGAGTGCTACAAGAGTTGATTTTGTTGGCTAGCATTCTGTGTTGGTTTTTCTTGAGTTTAGGGACAGGGGACAAGGGTGGGTTACTTCAGTGTATGGTCCAAATTGTCCTAAGATTAGGTCTTCTTTTTAGAGTAAGTTGTATAATGTGTTTGGTTTGTGTTATCTGAGGTGGTTTGTGGGAGGAGATTTTAATGTCATTAGGAATTTAGGGGAGAAGTTGGGTGATTCTAGGGTTACTACTAGTATGAGGAGGTTTGATACATTTATTTGTGGGTTGTGGGATATTTCTCATTCTAACACCTAACTCACATGGTCTAAGTGTTACGAGAATGTAATTGCAACAAGGATTGATAGGTTCTTTTTTAGCAACTACCAATTTATCGTGTGTGTTGCATGTGAATAATTTTCATGCACAAAAATTAATAAAAAGTGTTAGATATATGTGTATTTTAATTAAATATCATCTTAAATTTATCAAACTTATTTGTATATCGCTCATATTTAATATATAATTATAAAACCTTTGTATATTCTCAAGATTTGTTGTTCTAATTATAAGAAAAAAAGATTAAAAAATAGTAGTTCGATTTTTTTAGAATTTTGTGATTGAGAGTGATTTTTAGTGATGTTTGAAAAATAATTTTTTTTTAAAATTCATTTGATTAAGATTTTATTTATAATTCATTGTATAATATAAAAATAATTGTCAATATACTAATCATATTTGGAACTTACCTGAGATATAAAACTCGCGCCTATCTCTATATCTCCTGTTCGTGTCTCTACCTCTCATGCAATTGTTTAAGCGTATATGAACATCACACAGAGATGACGTCTCCTTTACTCCAAGTATTCTTCTTCTTCTTCTTCTTCAAAAATAACTACAAACCTCTAACATACCTTTATTTTTTCTTCTTCTTCTTCAATAAATGTTTTTTTTTTATTTTTTATTTTTCATAAAAAAAATTTTTCAATCGAATGTGAGAAGTAATTTTTTAAGTTTACTTGTTCGAATCAGTATGAGTTTTTCCTATTTTAGTACTTCATTCGTAGGAAGACAATAACTATTTGTTGGTTAAAATCATACATCTTTCATCGTAGTTATTTTGAGGAAACGATTTATTATGTATTAAGAAAGAAGTAACAGAGGTAGAAATTCAAGTGTAGTTTTATAAAGGCTAGCATTTTTTCATTTAGACGACGTGATCATGTTAATACCTGTCAATTATTATTTTAAAATATATTAATATTCAATATTTAATATCTTGCCTATTTTAAATATGTATATATTATTCTTTTATTATTGTTCGAATTTTATGTTGAATCTTACGATTTCCGATTCTCAAGTCTAAGATTTCGATTCCCGATACGAATCACGATTTGATAATTATGATTGTGAGCTAGAGGGGTGGAAGAATTTAAATTTATGAAGAAATTGAGGGGGGTGAAGGATAAATTGAAAGTGTGGAATAAGAAGGTTTTTGGAGATGTTAGGATTAGAAAGAGTGAGATATTGAGAGAAGTTGAGGCATTAGATAATTTGGAGGAGAGGGGGGGTGAAGGATAAATTGAAAGTGTGGAATAAGAAGGTTTTTGGAGATGTTAGGATTAGAAAGAGTGAGATATTGAGAGAAGTTGAGGCATTAGATAATTTGGAGGAGAGGGGGGGTGAAGGATAAATTGAAAGTGTGGAATAAGAAGGTTTTTGGAGATGTTAGGATTAGAAAGAGTGAGATATTGAGAGAAGTTGAGGCATTAGATAATTTGGAGGAGAGGGGGGGTGAAGGATAAATTGAAAGTGTGGAATAAGAAGGTTTTTGGAGATGTTAGGATTAGAAAGAGTGAGATATTGAGAGAAGTTGAGGCATTAGATAATTTGGAGGAGAGGGGTGTTATCAAGTGATCAAGTACCTGGCTGTAGTTCGTTTTCAAATCTACAAGAGGCCTATGCCTATGTCCCGCAAGAGGATTGTTATGATTC